AGAGATTAAGCCTGTGGATGATGAAGCTAACCAGCTACCACAGAAGAAAACCCAACTGTTTAGAAGGTAGAGGGCAGAGAAAGAATGAGAGGACAGATCTCTGTCTGCCTCTTGGAATTCGATGGGCAGGAAACTGGCCAAAGGAGCTACAGAGGGTGTTCTGCAAGAGACAAGAGCCTTCTCAGAGGAGCTTGAACACCAGCAGAGCTGCTGGAAGGAACACGTGAGCAGAGCTGCCCCTCTGTCAGAGGGTAGGGCCAGACGCTGTGGATCTTAAGCTAGATTAAAAATTATTACATTTATTATCAATTTCCAAAGTACAGCGGTGAGGCTGGTGCAAGAGAGACATTTCTATTACAAATGGGAGAGATTAGAGGGGGAGAAAGGATATGGAACACCAAGCAAATAAAAACCCCAGCAGATTGATTTACAGTAGCTCTCAAGGTTTGGAAAGGATCTTCTGTTCCCCGAGGTCAATCTGGGCAGTGCCCCATACCTTCTAGACTCTGTGTGTTGGCCACACACCTTGCATCTGGGTGGAGGTCTCTTGGACCTGGATTTCAACTCCACCTTCCAGCCCACTGGGACAGCCACACCGCTCCCTCTGTTTCTGGTGACCCTATTCCTCTAGCCCACCGGAGTGGTGCCCTTGCCCTTCCTCTTGGCCTTGGCAGTGTAGGGGCTTTGAGAGCCCTGGAAGATGTCCCCAGTCAATCTGACTCTAAGGTTTCTGATCACTCTGCTGCGAGTAATATGATTTCCAGTTGAGACCGCATAGATTAACCATTTCTGGTGAATCATTCTCTTAGCTCTGCCAACATTGTGGGAAGGGATCTTTAGAACACTGGTTCTCAAACATGACTTTAGAATCACATGTTAAGAAAACGCTGGTGGTGGAGTCCCTTCCCCAGAAGTATTGAGCTAATTGGCCTGGAGTGTGACCTGCGCAAATATTTTGAAACCTTCACAGGTGATTCTGCTTTGCAGAGAAACGTCTGCTTTGGAGCAGTGCAATGTTTTTAGTTCTAAATACTTACCCTTCTCTGTCTCTCTGTCTGTCTCTCTCTCTTTTTCTCTCTCTGTCTTTCTCCCCCCACATACGTACGCGTGCACACACACACACACATGCATGCACATGTATAAATAGGTGCATGAGGATGTTGTTATGTGCCATCCACTCAGAACTGACTCAGCTGACCCTGTGTGGATTTACAGAAGCTAGAAATCACACTGGAGATGATCCATCTTTCTCCTTCACAGCAGCTGGTGGGTTCAGACTGCTTGTCTTTTGGATTGGCAACACAACTTCTTGCCATTAGCCACTCCCTAACACACACATGCACACACAACCCTCTGTCCTTCCCTCCCCTAACAGCCTCAGTGCCATTAAAATGACCAAGGATCTTCATAAGAAAATGACCAATACAGTATTTGGTGGTATATCTTTTAATTTCTGTGAAAGTTTGAGTGATAACTATACAACAGTCATATACTATGACAGGTTTGGAAGCAGAATTGACATCCTCTTCTTAAATAACATGCCTCTGGAAACTATGAAGTGTGATAAATGTTGATAGTTGCAGAGGGGCTTCGTGCTCGACTCGAAGGCATTCGGCAACAATATAGAATTTTAGCTCTGGTGGTCTAATAGCAAGAAGCTGCGCTACAATCTCAACAGCACGTGGTTCGAGGCTACCTACTAGCTGCTCTTTGAGAGAAGTATGGGCAGTCTCCTCCCGTGCAATTAACTGCCTCTGAAAACCCAATCAGCTATAGGTCAGTTCTGACTCTATGGTACACAACAACAACAAAAACAGTGCTAGGTTGTCATATATCCATTCTATTTTTATCTTTTTCCAGCTGAGATATTGTTGACTCTTACGCATATGTTATAACGTTATTAGATTCTTACAGGCCAGTAACTTTTGGATTAGAGGTGTATCTCTATCCCTGGAGAGTTGTGTAAATTAATAAGAGGTGGCATTTAGGAAACTGTTCGATTTAGGTACCTTTCATTTGGAGCCCTGTTTTGTACAACACCTTTTCAGACAAAACACTTGATTCACTTATAGCCTAATGAAGGTAGTGCCCATATGATTTTCTAGGTGCTGATGTACAGCACACAGTATGTGCTTGAGTGAATGAACAGACTGATGAACTTGTTCTCGGATCTGAAGTGGGAGTCATGGTTACAGTTAGAAAAACGAATTACTGAAATAGGTTCAGATGTGCCTAAAAATTGTTTAGGAATGTTGGGGAAGGAGAAAGAGATAGTAAGGGTGGATTTGAAAGGAACATAAAACCAGGGAAGACTATAGGAAAAGAAGCTTCTGATCCTTCAGGAAAATGGAAAATCTTCCAGTTCTAGAAATTTCCTGAATTTGGCTGCCAACAGGCTCAAGCAATTTCCTCTAGGAACTACATAGTGCCCCGTCCGCACGAGGTGAGAGAAACATGTCTTTTCCTTCTGTTTTCCTATCCTATTCATTTGCCACAAGAAAAAAGCTGGTTCAGATGTATTTTCAGAGTCCTACCAAGTAAGATATACCTTATCTTAGGGGGTTACTTTCTCAAAATAGCAGGCTTCAGTTAGAGGGTAAAGCCATACTATTGTCAGTCAACATTTATGATACCATATATTTTCCTTTATAAAGACCTTGAGAGAAAAAGTATATCATTACAAGGACGTTGAACTTAAGGTCTGATCAAGGATCACGCTGGGAAAAAAGGTTTTTATCTTCAGTTAGACTGGTATGCTCCTGAAAAGTCTCCAGTGTGTCTTTCGTATTACAACTCTGGAGCCAGACAGATGTATCGTATGATTTGTGAAGACGTCTTCTCATATTAATATTATTTTATAATCAGTAGATTTCATAGACACAATCACAAGGCCTAGAAAAAATTTTATTATTTCCTTATAAAATAAGAATTATATTATCTTTATTATTGTCTGTCTAAAAACTTTTATTAAAAATGAGAAGTTGCCAATTTTATTCCATCAGCATGTAAGGTGCATACATTACTGTACCCCTTCAAATCGAAGGATTTGTACAGCTCCAAGAAACGACAAGATAAATGGGAGGCCAGTTTCCGTCCTTCTTGCTCCCCTTCTTATTGAATTCTCAGTGACTTTTAAAGAATGTGAAGGCATTAAGGATAGTTAAAACCATCAGTCATGCTTCACTTAGAATTCAACGAAGAGCAAGATGAAAGAATGAAATAGGAAGCTTTGTTTATCTGAATAATACTCCTCTGCTTTAAAATCATCATGAAAGAGAGGGAATCCTTATGGTTACATAAGCTAGGACAGCACAAAGGGAGGTGCTCAAGGTGGTGTTTGTCCGGGTCATGAGAGGAAGTCCAGTGGAACTTGGAGATTTCTGGAGTGCGGGGCTGGTCCTTTGAGCCAGCAGTGTATTATGATATAATGGCGCCTCTGTGCTTCACCTGATGTGCTGTCCTAGAAAAACAATTTGAAGCAATAAAGCATCCATTTGGCTCCTAAGTAATGAGGGAAGCATTTCTCTTTGCATTAACTATTTATTCAGGAAGAGAAATGACCAACTGTTAATAAGCTTTATCAAGAGATGGTAGAGGAAAACAGAAGAAAATGCAAAACTGAGGTTCTCATCCATTTCATATGCAATTAGAAAAGAGTCAAAGCTGAATGGTTGGTGCTCCCTTTCCATGTGACTTTTGGCTGGCTGTATTTAAGTGCATGTGCCTGTCAGATATACTACAGGCCTCCTGGTTTGAGGCAGGACTGTCGAGCCCAAGCCAGCAAAAGAGGAGAAGCAGGCGATGCCTGGTGAGTTGCTGAGATTAGGCTCATCTCTCTCTACTTTTGAAATGTTGGTTTTATTTTCTAAGAATGGTAGTGACAAGCTTACCTGTTTTCTTCCTTTAGAGGAGAAATCTTTTTTTCTTTCTCTCTTACATGCCTGTGCCTTCTTTGATATTTTTAAAAATCAATGCCATAATACATCACAAGATAATATATTTATGGTGTGATGGAGCAGATTGTAACCTGAGAAAGTAAGATAAGTAAATGTATAATTTATTATTCGGGAGTCGTTTCTAGTTCGCCGTTTGACAGTCTGCTCTTCTTCCACAAGTAAACAAAAGTCCTCTTCTTTGTGGTAAATAGTAGAACTTAATAACTGAAAGATTATAACCAGAATATTATTTTCACACATAAAAAGGGGCTTCTTACCAGTCATTTCAGAATCTCTCTTTTGAAGTGCTTTTGGTGCTTATAATAGCATCGGGTTTTCATTTCATTTCATTTGCTTTAAGGTTCTTCTTATAATTGGTTTGTCTATTTCACTGGCAGAAATAAAGATGAAAGTAACATATTTTTCCCGTAAAGTCAACGAAATACTTTTATGATCATTTTTTCTCCTTACTATTTACTAAAAAATAGTTAATAGTGGAATTCTACAGAATGGGGAGAAATCCTGCACCTATTTTAGATTAAAATAGGCAGTAGATCAGATTAAAATAGAGAGTAGTGGTGTAAATTCAGTGTTACTCCAAATACAGGATAATCGTCATATAATATAAATAAGATGTGAAATAATTTACTATGTTCCTTTGATTCTTAATTTTTAAATATTTCTGTGTTAAAACAGTTACATAAATTATAAGCCTTCCATCACATATTTTGAAGTATATTAAAAATAAATTTACAGGACACAGTACTGTGAGATAAGAAGGTAGTTAATTTACCTTCCTAGCCGTTGGCAAAGAACTAACTAGTCTGATAGGCATGTGGCACCAGAATTGGAGAGCAAGTCAAGACTCTTAAGATTGCAAGGGCTTGTTCTCTTTCCCAGACCACATTATATCCTATGCAGATAATTCAGATGTTTATGCTCACAGAGAATCTTCCATTCTTCTTTGAGAACGTGAGGTTGGCAAGTGGAACAGGGAATCTTAGAGTTTACAATTCTTTCTCTTGCTGGTTATTAAGCATCATTAGACTGAATTGTCCCTTTCAGATAATCACACCATTCAGAAGAATCATGCTGTGTGCTGACAACAGGAAGGAGATGGAGGACTGGATCAGCTGCCTCAAGTCTGTACAGACTAAAGAACCATTTGAGGTAAAAGCATCTCCTGTACAAGTCACGTTCTTAGGGAATATAGATAGGTGTTTGAGGAGATGTGCTGTGCTGTGTCCACACGTGGAGACTCAGCAACACTTTAAAACTTTGTTTTTGAAGTTGTCTGATTGAAGCAAAGTGCTTTACTTGTAAAAATTATAAATTTGAGGATTTTGTCATAATTATATATGCATTCTAAGCAACGCCAGGTCTTTAGTCGTCTTCTCTGGTTTGGCCAACTTGTGCTAATTTCTCCTTTCTAGGTGGCCCAGTTTAATGTGGAACATTTCTCAGGGTTGCATAACTGGTACGCCTGCTCCCATGCCCGACCCACCTTCTGTAATGTGTGCAGAGAGACCCTCTCTGGGGTCACGTCCCATGGCCTCTCCTGTGAAGGTACTGTAGCCCCCAGCGTTTTCTCTCCCCCCCGTTAAACATGCTGTGCACTTGTTCTGTTGTTTACAGGAAAGCTCTCATTCTAGAATCACATTTGCCTTAGATGGAGGTGGTGGCCAGGATTATCACAGCTGAAACCTTGTTTTAATTTCCATTCAGAGTTAAACTCAAGCTTTGTATAGATGGGACTAATTTGAGAATTTTTTTTTTCCACAAGAATAGTCATTACAACATCATCTGATAGAAAGAGTGGGTGAAAATGTAGCATTTCACTACTGTAGGGTAAGCAACTATGTTGAAACTTCTATAATATTTAGGACTTTAAAAAAAATTATTCAGGCATCCTTTATTTTGTGTTTATTGGTTATAGGGAAGAAGATAATCGGTGTTGATAATATATATTCTTTGGCAGAATATTTGTTCCTCATAATGCATTCTTTAAAACACTGACTTTGTTTTGTTTAACTTAAATAAATGTCATCTTTTCTCATTTCTCTAAAATTATCTAAAAATAAGCTCTATGCTGTGTTGGTTTCCTCCCCCCCTCATTACGGGATCTGTGATTTATTTTTCACTTTAAGATCACTAACAGCAAATACGTTCTCAATTATTAAGGAATATCTCATAGCTTATTTAGAGTTTCTCGATTTTATACCCCAATAATTACAGTAGTATATACTGCTTTTTAGTACTGGTACCATTTTTTTCCTCAATACATAAATTTTTTTAAACACACAATTTCTTAAGTAATATTGGATGTAATTTTATTAGAGCTAAATATTTAAGTATTAATGAGATCACGATTTTTAGTACATAACAATTTGGGGATGTATCATTACTGTGTCTGCTTAATATGATCATAGGTAAGAATAAAGCTTTTCATGAAAGTACTAAATTCCTCTGAATTATGCACTTTAACATAGTTAATGTTATGTTATACAAATTTTACCTAAGAAACACAAGACAGGGGTCTGCATTTAAATCTTCTGTTTTCAAATTCCATATCTACCATATGACCAGGACAGGTAAAGCTTTATTTCCTTATCTGTAAAATTGTATAATAATTATTTGAACTGAGGTGTGGGAGGAGCGGAAGAAATTGTGCAATAATATGAATATGAAAAAAATAGAAAATGAACTGTAAGAAGGGGAAAGGAGGGAAACGTGCAACAAAATGAATGAAAAAGCACATTTTTTGTAAAATTTCATTAAAATTACAATTAAAATAAAAATTTTATTATTAGAAAGTAATTATTTGAACAACGTAAAAGCACTGTGGAAATTAATTGAGAGATAATACATAAGAAAATATCATCAAATAAATTCCAAGAGTTCACGACTCTGGTCTATAAGAAGTGAGTAGTTTCAGATTGTTTCATGACTTGGTTTTAATTAAATCTAAACAATAACTTAGAGGAGGCATTAAACATATTTTAGATTAAAGCTTGATTGTAAAGGCAATTTACTCTTAAGAACCTTGGTAATCAAAAAAAGCAGGTGTCTGATTCTGCATGATGTTATTTGGTATTTGTTTTACAGCTGCCCAGTATCTCCCATCCCAGCATGCTAATAAAGACACAAGATCTAAGAAAATCTTGCTGTTCTTCTGATTTGAGACTTATCATGCTCCTATACATTTAACTGCTTAAGATATAGAATGACTAAATATCTTTACAAGCATTTTAAAAGAAAAAATTACAGTGATATCAGCAGATGAAAATTAGAAACTTGAGTATTGAAACACTTTTTTTTTAAATTTTTTTGTAAATAATTGGGTCTTCCCGACTTTCTTTTTAAGCCTCAGTTGTTGGATTTTTGCATTATCTCTTTGAAGATAACATATTAACATTTCTCTACTGGTAGATTAGAGTTCCTGTGATGGTAAAATTTAAAAAGCTGCAACAGCTTGCCCGTTAGTATTTTTAGAATTATAGCAGAAGGTTTTAGAAAATCCTCAAAAGTTTAATGATTATAAAAAAGTTATATTTTATTTAATAAAAACTTGATTTATTCAGAATGTTTGATTATGATCAAAGTTAAACTTTAGAACTATTCACCACAAACTAAAATAAAAAATTGAGTGGATTAACTTTCTTGACAAACTGAAGGTATAGAATATAAAAAAAAATTTAAAAGTCACAGTAAAAAAACCCCAAAAACAACCATATCAAAACCATTCAAACTCGTTATAGTCAAACAGGAACATACTCAGAGCTGACCGACCCTCCAGGCACATTTTCTGAGGCTGTAAATAGCAAGGTAGGAGGTTGCTTGTCTTCCCTCAGAAACCCTGGTAGGTCCCAGCCACCAGAAAGGCTCTCCCTTTGAGTTCACAGTGTAACTCTGTTCAGATCACACCACTCCTGCTCCATCTCAGAAAGTTATAGTGGAGAGGCAAATCTAATCAGTGGTCACTAAACAGTGAGGATGAGTAACTGTATTTGAATGAGATCCAACTTCTAGTGTGAAGCCTAGCTTCCTACTCTCATTTTCCACAGTGAGTTTGTAGTGATTTGCCTTAGCTAGATAATAATGAACATCATTCTAAAACCTTTAACATATAAAATGCTACCTGAAAGAAATAAGAGGAAAATCATTTTCTTACTAAATTCCCTTAATCAGTTGGACGAGGTCTTGTTCACACAATGGATAGTGCTTGTCTACCTAACTGAAAAGTCAGCGAATTGAACCCCCCAGCTGCTCCACATGAGACAGATGAGATGCTATGCTCCCATGAAGATGGTAGCTTTGGAAACCTGAGGGGGGAAGTTCTAATCTGACTTAAGAGGTTGCAGTGAGTTGAAATCACTAGAAAGTAAGAGAAGTTGAGAATTTGCATTATCATTTCAGAACATAATTCTTTCACAGTTAATCAAACAGTTCTTTAACAGCAACAAAATAGCATAAATATATCAGCACACATACTCATAAATTTTGATTTTTACTGCAGCTTACCACTTTAAATGTTCTTTGTGGTGAAGATTTAATATTACAATAAAATATAATAATGTCAGTTTATTTTAATATTTTCTTTAAGTTCTTTGGTTTTAAAAGTATGGCTATAGCTTTATAGGTCAGGGGAAAGTACTTTATTTCAGAATACCTTGTTTGGAGAAGTTGGTCTAGTGGTAAGAATCTGCACTGCAATCCCAAAGGCATGCAGTTCAAATCTGTGTTCTGCTCCATGGGAGAAGGATGAGCAGTCTCCTCCCATGCAATTAACTGCCTCTAAAAACTTGCTGGAGGGTCAGCTATGGGTTGGTTCCAACTTGTTGGCACACAACAAATCAAGATGCCTGTTTTATTTCCATTGCTTACATGACCATAATTGTAGATTGATTGGTATTATCATTATATATTATATAACTTTATATTTTCAGTACTCATTGCATGAAGAATTCTAGTACTATAAAAGTGTGTTTTTATTTTTAAAGGCAAGATTATAAAAAACCAAAAAAAAACCCCACCAACCAAGCCCTTGGAATTATATACTCTGCTGCATTCTTTTACTTTTTTTTCTTTTTAGGGAAACATTTACTGTTGATAATGTCAAGTTACCTATTTGCACTTCAGAAGTCCTGGTGGTACTGTGGTTCCAGCCTCTAGCTGCTAACCAGAAAGTCAGCAGTTCAAACCCACCAGCTACTCCCTGGGAAAGACAGAAGACAGTCGTCTGTTTTTAGACCTAGCGCAGACTTAAAAACCCTGGGGAACAGTTCTACTCTGCCTTCCAGAGTCACTGTGAATTAGGATTAACTTTATGCCTTTGGAATGCGTTTATACTTCAAAAGCGCCCTGGAAATTTTGATGCAAATGATGTTAGGACCATCAGTTGATTGTTGTGGAGTCTCCTCTGGCTCCTGGAGAGCCTGTGAGTGTTAAGAGGAGAATTGGTCTCCATGTGGTTTTCAATGATCAGATCACAGACAATGGAATGAGCAGACGCAAACTTTCAACCTTTTTGTTAGCAGCCGAGCTTAACTTTTGTCACTACCCAGGCACACTACAATTTGAAGAAAGATCATAATATCTGAAAAGGCCCAGGCCTAGAGATGTTAACCAACCACAGTATATAAACAGTCACTTACTTGTGTTAGAGAAAAAGAGAGCCAACCAGTTATGGTAAAGCTTTCTTTTTCAAGCTAAGCTTATTCCCTGCAATGCTGTTTTTTCAATTTCTTTGTTGATTAGCAACAAAAGTCAGTTGCATTTTTGTTTGTTTGTTTTCTGTGTGAAGCCACACAATTATTTATGATAAAAATAGTATGACTTCCAGGAAGGAGTGTGTCACAGTATACAAAAGAGGAGGTAAGCAAAACATTTCCAGTGTTTATAGACTAGCATATTATACAGAAGAACCAGCTCAGTGTAAGTGGCCATGTGTAACTATTCAAGCTACACAAAACATTAGAACATTTGACTATAGCCATCTCAGTTATTTGACCTATCCCACTCAATTTTTAGTGTATATCAAGTTAGGAAAATTATAATAATGCTGTATAACCAACCCAAAATTCCAAAATTGTTAATAATTGACACCTAGAAATCCAAAATGAGCATGTTAAAAGATACCACCTTGCATTTAAAATTGTAACAAGTCACTTTATTAGGATCTCAACTTTTAAATATTTATCTATGAAATAAATACTCATGTAACATTAGTATCCACTAATGTATGAGTAATAGGTACTCTAAAAGTAGCCAAGTTCAGATTTTCATTTTTTCTTGTTGTTAGGTGCTGTAGAGTTGGTTCCAGTGTGTGTTTTTATGTGCCATTTGCATTGACTCTGACTCTTAGTGATCCTGTGTACAACAGCTCTCTGACACATCTACCCCCATTACTCCAGTCATTGAGTCAATCCATCTCATCAAGGATCTTCCTCTCTTGCACTGTCCCTCTACCTTTCCAATCATGATGTCCCTCCCTCTCCAAGGACTTGTCCCTCCTTGCAAGATACCCAAAGTAAATCAGACAGAGCTTCAAAATCCTTGCCTCCAAGCAGCAGCCTGGTTTTACCCTCTCTAGGACAAACCTGTTTGTTCTCTTCGTAGTCCAATGTATATTCAGTACTCTTCTCCAGCACCACAACTCAAAGGCTTCGATTCTTCTGTCATTCTTAGTCACTGTTCAGCTCTGTGATGCATAGCAAGTAATTACAAAGACCATGGCCTGGATCAGGTGCACGTTAGTCTACAGACTGACATCATTGCTCTTCAGTACTCTGGAGAGTTGGGTCCCTGACAACAGATTTTCCCAATGCAATTAGTCTTTTGATTTCCTGGCTGCTGGTACCAAGAGTGTTTATTGTGGAGCCAAGCAAGCTTAAACTGTTAACAGTTTCATTCTCTTCATGGCCTGTCATGATGCTGCCAATAGAACCATGGTATTCCATATATCCAACAGAACAAAACACTGCTAGTCTTCTCCAGCCTCATAATCATACCTGTGTTTGAGCCTGTTGTTGCCATCACTGTGTCAGCTCATCTCTTTGAGAGTCTTCTTCCTTTTTTTCTTGCTGACACCCTTCCCTACCAACCAAGAGGTCTTTCTCCAGGGAGTGGTCCTTCTTGATAACTCTACTTGAGAGGAAGCTCATATCCTTGCTTCTAACAAGCATTACTGTCTTTACTTCTAACAAAATAGATTTGTTCTTCTGGCAGAAAACCAAATTGATTGCCATAAAGTTGGTTCTGAATCAGGGCAGCCCACTGTCAAGTTTCTGAGGTGATCACTCTTTGCTGGAAGATGCCCTGTTTCTCTCCTATGGAGCAACTGGTGGATTCATGCTTCTGACATTTGGGTTGGCAGCTTAACCTGTGACTCACTGTGCCACCAGGGCTCTTTTGACAGTCTAGGGTAGATTTAATATTTTTCATCAGCACTAGAACTCAAAGTCACCAATTCTTCAGATGTTTTTAGTTATTGCTTTACTTTGATATTCATAAAACATTTAAAAATAGCATGATTTGAATATGGCATGTTCTGATTATTAATGGAAATTTACAGCTTTTTTCACTTTTTGAGTTGCTGTATCAGAAGATGGGTGTCTTGAAAACTTTACTCCATCCCAACCATTATGGTCGACTTGACTTTGAAGAGGCAGCTCTTCCCTACTTGTATGTTGAGGGCTTTCCAACTTGACAGATTCATATATAAATTCTCTATCAGACAATGCATTCTATTCGTAAGTTTCCGGTGGCCAGTCATTTTTATAACTAGATCTTTGGATACTTTATCCAGTCTACCTCTTCTGGAAGGGACACTGAAACTTCTTCACCACAGGACACCCTACTGGTGTTTGAAATACTAGTGGCAGACCTTCCACAGTCACAGCAATGGACAAGCCACCAGAGTGCCACAGACTGACTCTTCTCAAGCATTGTTCGTTTTCCCACATATCTCTGTGATATCATTGGGGTTTTTTCTTACATTTTGTTTTTCCAAAATAATCTGTCATTTCTTTGTTTTTACATATATCTATTTTTTCTTCAGTACTTTGGAGAGGTCCCTAACAGCAGACTTTCCCATCGCAATATGTCTTTTAATTTCCTGGCTATTGGTGCCAAGGTCTGATACAGGCCATGGTCTTTGCAGTCACTTGTTATACATCAGATAATTGGACAGTGACTAAGGAGGATAGAAGGAGAATTGATGCCTTTGAGCTGTGGTGCTGGAGAAGAGTTTTGAGGGTACCATGGACTGCTAGGAAAACAAACAGATTCATCCTGGAAAGGGTTAAACCGGGCTGCTCCTTGGAGGCAAGGATTCTGAGGCTTCGTCTGACATACTTTAGATATGTTATAAGGAGGGAGAGGTCCTTGGAGAGGGACATCATGCTTGGGAGGGTGGAGGGACAGTGCCGGAGGGGAAGACCCTCTATGAGGTGGATTGATTCGGTGACTGGGGTAATCAGGATGAGTGTGTCGGAGACAGTGCAATTGGCCCAGGACAGAGCAGAGTTTAGGGCTGTTATACATAGGGTCGCTATGAGTCGCAAGCTACTCAATGGCACATAACAACAACAACATTTCTTGCTTGCTGCTTCTAGTCTTTCCCAGGCTACTTTATAATAATATGGCTCGGGATAGTTAGTGATATGTATAGTGGAAACATTATTAGTTTGTTATCCCTTCCTTAAATTACTCATTGCAACTTTTAAAAGACCCTATCAACAGATTTCCCATGTTGCCTGAGAACATAAAGTGGCAATTTTGACTTTAGAATTCTTGTGTAATAGCTCTGTCCTTTATCAGAACAATATTTTCAAAATTTTATTTTACTGTAAGTATATTATACATTTTTGTTGTTGTTGTTGTTATGTGAGCTCTGGGGGCTAGAGGCAAAGAAGCTGCACTGTAATCCTGAATGCATGCGGTTTGAGTCCACCAGCTGCTCCGTGGGAAAAGGATGGGCAGTTTCCTCCCATGTGATTTCCTGCCTCTGAAAACCCACTGGAGTGCCAGCTATGGGCTGGTTCTGACTCAACGGTACACAACGACAACAGCAGCAACATATTATACATACTCAGTCTCAGCTCACTGCTGGTGAGTGCTTCTGACTCAGAGCAGTCCTCCTGACGGTTTCCCAAGCTGGATCAGGAGGCAGCTGCCCACCTTTCCCTGTCAGAGCTGCTGGTGGATTTGCTTAGCCTTTGGGCTCACCACACAACGTGAAGCAGACAGTGCCACCTGAAACCCAGCAAATACAGATATTCAATGTCTACAGTTCGGTGCATTTTCACTAATTGAACACACTCATGCAGTTGTCTCCCAAATGAAGAGAAGAATGCTACCAACACCATTACATTACTGAATTTTGTATGCATTTGTGTGTATGTTATTTCTCATCTCTTCAAATGCTCATTCTTTTCAGTTTCCTTTCTCCTTTTTTACAAGGCAGTGTAATCTTTCTCCGTATAATTTTATCTACAACTTTATAAAAGTACTTCACAAAAAGGCATAGTTATTTGTCAGAATACTGTTGTTACTGTTGAAGAGTAATTTACCTTTTGAAAGATAATGTGTCTTTTGTTGTAGTTTTCTTTAATTAGAGGTACGAAAGTGCTTCATCATTTTAAACAGTTGGTTTCTCTTTTTTTCCAGTGTGCAAATTCAAGGCTCATAAGCGGTGTGCAGTGCGAGCAACAAACAACTGCAAGTGGACGACTCTGGCCTCCATCGGGAAGGAAGTTCTGGAGAACGAAGATGGCGTGAGTTCCTCTTCTGTGTTCTGTCTCTTTCCAGCATACCTGTCTTTGTTTTCTTCTCTGTGGAGAAGAATTTGAAATGGTAGTTAAGGGACATGTTGAGGAGGACTCAGTGGAAAGTTTTGTTTAATAATGAGATTTGCTTTTTCCTTCAGCCCTTCATAGCTTTGAGTGTTCCCTGTTGTGAACTTGTCTTTTGTGGCGGGCAAGTAGAGTAGTTCTTGACTTCACAAACCTGAAGGAGTCTTTAAGGCTTAGCTCAAGTGTTCACGCCTCAGACTTAAGAGTTTTCTTTAAGCAGAGTCCCAACCTTCCAATCCATGCTTTATGGCTCCTTCTACTTTTACATAAGGAGCCTGGTGTTGTAGTTAAGTTATGTACTAGACTGTTAACTGACAAATCATTGGTTCAAATTCACTAGCTTCTCCTTCAGAAAAAGACGAGGCCATTCAATTGGAGGGTTATCATGGGTTGGAATAGGCTTAGTGGAGATTTTTATATAAATCTTAATAACACTTAATGATCACTTTAGAGTCCTTTATAATGCCTTGCTCCTTAGCTCTGCTAGGAGTCCTCAAAGGCACAGTTTTGGTTTATTTTAAATTTTTTGTTTTATACTGATTTGCTTACAAAGTTTGTATACATTGTGTTTCACACTATGCTTCATTCATATTGTGTTTCATACAATCATTCTCATTCACTATGCTTTGTAAAATTAATCACCATTGGACCACGCCCACCATTACCCCCAGGTCCCCACTAAATCTTTCCCATTTCCTTTACCCACTCCCTCCACTCACTAAATTGTGCAACTCTGTGATTTCACCCTTACCCAGTTTTTACTTACGCATATATTACAGTCCCTGGATTGTGCAGAAGACTATCCTACTTGCTTCCTAATCATAGGTGATGGTTCAAGGGTTACCCAAAGGCACCTCGGAAGGAATGTCTGGCAAGCTGTTTCCCAAAAATTAGCTTTTGGGATCCCTGTGGAGCACAGTTCTACATCCGACACCCATGGGGCAGCCGCATGTAGAATTGGCTCAATGGCACCTGTGTTATCTGTGTCCTGATAGTGCTTGGAGCTTGTTGATAACTATCATCGACTTGAAACAAACTCACAGCTGATCCTCCAGCAAGTTTTCAGAGGTAGTAAATTGCACAGGAGGATATTGCCCATCTTTTCTCCCTCAGAGCAACTGGTGAACTCAAATCAAGTGCCTTTGGGCTGACAGCACAACCCCCCTTACCACTAAGCCACCAGTGCACCCTACTTGGGGTATAGCTATGTATTGTGCACCATAGAGTCGGCACCAACCCATACCTGACCCTCCAGTGAGTTTTCAGAGGCGGTTAATCGCATGGGAGGACATAGCCCATACTTCTTTCGCAGAGCAGCTGTGGATTTGAACCACGTGCCTGCAGGATTGCAGTGCAGCTTCTTAACACTAGGCCACCAGTGTCCCTGGGGTGTAGTAGGTACTTGGTAATGTTTGTTAAATGGGTAGATGTCATGAACTATACTAGAGAATCAGAAGTCATTGAGTTTATTCACTAGAATAAGAATGAAGGATGCTGTTTCTCCCAGTCTTTGACATGCACACCCTTTGTCCCTGCCCTCAGGTAGCCATGCCCCACCAGTGGCTGGAGGGCAACCTGCCCGTCAGCGCCAAATGTGTTGTCTGTGACAAAACGTGCGGTAGTGTTCTCCGTCTGCAAGACTGGAAATGCCTTTGGTGTAAAGCAATGGTAAGGGTTTCCTGATTTATTCTTTATAATTAGCTTCTTTTTGTGACCTTTTCTTACTCTTGATTTACAGACAGAGCAAGGAATTTGTGGAGGAGCAGGGCTTGGTGGCTACCACACCCCGTGTGGTTCCCTTCACCTCCTTCCATTCTGGTCATGCTCAGAAGTCCTTTTTGTGCTATGGGTTACTTAACATCACAGTCTGTTTTATAAAATCACATGTTGTGTGATTTTGGTTGTTGTGTGGACACTGTATTATGACCGTCCTGGAACCTGATTCCAGTTGTTCTCATCTGCTGCTGGCAGAGACCAGAAGAATGTTCTGGTGCCTGTGTGGTGGGAGTGGAGGGAGAGGAAGTAAGGGAGGAGGGAGCTCTGTCCTCAGCTCCACTGATGTTCTGCAGCCTGAGGACAGGCCAGCCTTTGAACCAGCTCATTTTGGTTTGACCTCTGCTGAGAATTTTCATTTCTGCCCTAGTAGTACTGAATCATAATCTCTATGTTAACAAAACATAACCGGAATCACCTAGTAACTTAAGAATGCTGGAGGATTTTGTTCAATTGTAGATTCTGATTCAGTATCTTGCAGAAGAAATCCGGATTCTCAATGAACATAAATAGATTGGTGAGAAGTCCAAAGGACTTACCTGCAACTCCCAACACCCCACCTGCCTCCTGGACAAAACCAAGGAGCTGATGGCCAGAGTCTCTTCCTCTGCTTTAGCTGCTGCATCCCATTCATTGTCAAGTGCTAAGAAAGTCTAGATTTGGGGGCCTTTAAAACCTTTAGACAAACTCTGGTGGCCTCATGGGTAGGGAATTATGCTATCAACTCAAAGACGTGTAGCTGGTATCCACCATCAGCTCTGAGGAATGGTCTCACTGGACCAAATGGCATCCACGTTTGGCCTCATGTGTACATGAGGACAGGAGACCAGGAGTGAGGCCACACAGACTGTCCAAGGGGCTACATGACCACACACAGCTGATAGCAGCACTGAGAAGAGGACAGGCTAAGTGTGATTACATCACTGTTGGAGCTATTTGGTGTCTTGTTGCATGTTGAGCCCCTTAAGGTTACTGGCCTGCATTTGGAAGGTGGCCCAAAAGCAAAAGCAGATAACCCATTGCTTTAGTCAGTGTGGTGTAGATCAACAGATGTAAGAGATGTGCTTATGAGGGGTTGATTTCATCATCAGTGAGCTCGATTCCGTGGGCCACAGAGAAAATTTAAGTCCTGCAACTTTCTACTTAAGTGTAACAGATAATTTGTACTTTCTTAAGTCATCTAATGTGACAGACTGTAAACTGATAATCTCTCTTTGGAATTGCAATGCAACCATAAACCCTAAACTTTTATTCAGGTCCTTAAATGAGTGCTAGACGTTAGCAGGATTTAAAATTTTTATACCTTGTTCTCTTTTTGGGGGACCCCAACCTTGGAATTATTTCTCTATTCTCAATTCTATTATTCTCAGCTATAAATATTTTTTTAAAGTTAGGTGTGTGGTGAATTAATTTAGGAATGTTTTATATAAAGATCTTTACCTGAAATATATATTTATGTTCCTTCTTTTATTTAAGGTAGCTCTGATGGCCTAATGGATAAAGCGTTTTCTTGGTGTGAAAAACAATGTTTACAAACTTTGTGAGCAAACCAGTATAAAATACAAACTTATTTAAATGTTTTCACTACCAGTCTAATGGCAGATGGCTTGAATCTATCAGCAGCTGTTAGGAGAAAACTCACTAGAGGGTCAGCTGAGTCAGATCGACTCAACAGTACATAACAAAATTTATATTTAATCGGTAGTTTTGAACTTTACTAATGTAAAAATTATTTAGATTTTTCATTTGCCCACTCTACTCATCAACAACTTTAAACAATGTTACAAGTGGAATAGGGGTATTGCTACAGTAGATAAGAGATGGCATTTTGAATGTTTTTCCTCCCTTTTTTTTTTTGCTGCCAAATTCAAATAATCCCCTTCGCTTTGAAATTCTCTCTCACTGCCTTGTCCCATCCTGTGCAAGTTAGACATCCTGGCTTGGAGCCACCATCAGCTTGTGATGTCTCTAGTCTTTGCATTTCCTATCCCAGTTACCACTGAATTGATTCCAACTCTTGGTGAGGTATTTGAGTAGTGCAGTGCTCCATAGGATTATCAGTGAATGTTTTTCAGCAGTAATAGATCATTGTTTGTCTCTTTACATTTTATTTTGAGTTTCTAACCGCAGAATATCCAGTACCTAAAACACAGTCATCAGATAGATAATTAAAAAAAAACCAAACACAACACCACAACACTAATGATTTCACCACCTTGAGTGAACACATAATTTTCCCACCTTTTATCTAGTATGTACCTACTATCTAGGAGGGAGCTCTGGTGGCCAGTAGTAAGAAGCTGCATTGCAATGCCAAAGGCATGCGATTCGAATCTACCGTTTGCTCCACAGGAAAAGATGGGCAGTCTTCTCTTGTGTGATTTACTGCCTCTAAAAACCCTGGAGGGTCATCTGTGTGTTTGTTCCAACTTGACAGCATACAACAACAAAAACAACATTGTCTAGCACTAGCATAGTCTTACCTTTTCTTTGTATATGATGAAGGTATAATCTCTAATGTTTTACTCGTGGTTTTATTTTTTTTCTTCTTTGTCCATTGGGGCTCTTTATTCTTTTCCATAATTTTTTTTACTATTTGAATGAAAGCTTACACATCATACTGATTTTTCATATAAGCATTCATAGACATTTTGTTTTAGAAGATCAATTACCATTTGTTAGCATAATTAATTAATTATACTTACTAATCATCCCCTTCTTGTGTATTGCCTTTTGCACTATGATTCTTATTTATTATTTTATTCCTTTTAAGACATTCCATTTCTAAAATCCAGCAGCAAGGAAGTGACCTTTTAATTATTATAAATCATAACAGGAGACTGTTCAAAACTAGTTCATTCACAGAATAAGAATGACTACTTCCATTATTTTACTAAAAGATTTGATAAGAATAGGTTTAATTAGTAATCTAGTTTTCTAAAAGGGTTATTGAAATGAAGCCATATGAAATAAGTGTTTTGAAAGATCTACTTTTACTGATAACATTTCAAAGTCTGCTTTGGTAAGACCGTAAAGTGTTTTAAATTATCTCAGTCTTAATTATTAAGTTGCTATTGTTGTGTACCCTAGTTACCTTAAGTCTTTCCTTAACTACTCAGTTGTTGTTGTTAGCCCTAATTAAGTAGTTTAAATTAAACAACTTTAAATTTAAAGTATTTTAAATTATCTAAGTCTTTCCTTACCTAGTTAAGGAGAGACTTCTTTTGTTCTCACTAGCATCTTAAATGACTTTGAAAATGGTTTGCTTCCATATTTACTAAGAGCCCAGGATATGTACCACTTTTTAGTTAGACTGTGGGATATGTGATGATAGGACTTTTTCCTTTTCCCTATAGAACCCTAAGACAAACAGAGAAAATAGGCCTATGTATGTCAAACTATACATATTAAATGTATATGTTAGTATTTTATATATATATATATATATAATAAAATTGTAGATGCATAACTTAATAAGAAAAATGCCCTTAAAAGAGGTATGAAAACTCAAAAAGCAGCTATTTAAAAAAATACTACATGACTTGGGAGAGGCTGGAGAGCATTATGCTGAGTGAAATAACTCCGTCTCATAAGGAAAAATACTACATAAGACCATTATAGTAAAAATAGAAAGATAACTAGTAAAATATGTATGGGGATCCAAAAGGGGAAGGGATGGGAGCAGAGGGATGAGGATGAATAGGGGCAAAATCACAGGTTCGCAGTTTGGTGGGTAGAGGTAAAGGAAGTGGGAACGATCCGGCAGGTACCCAAAAAAAACAGGGTAATGGTGTGCATAGTCCAATGGTGATTTATTTTATAGAACATAATGCGTGGGAATGATTGTATGAAACACAATGTGAATGAAGAATAGTGTGAAACACAATGTATGTGAACTTTGTAAAGAAACCAATACATAATAAAATTTTATTTTTTTTTAATTTATTTTTTGTGTGTGTACCATCATATCGGTTCTGACTGGTACAGGAGGAGATTGCCCCTCTTTCTTCAGCAGAGCATCTGGTGGATTCGAACCATGCCCCTCTGGTATTGCAGTACAGCTTCTTTCCACTAGGCTACCAGAGCTCCCTCAAATACACCAGAGCTCCCTAAAATAAATTTTTTTTTTTAAAAAAAGAAATATGAAAAGAAAATTATAGGACCCCTGAGAAAAAGTAGAAATTGTTGTATTTATTTCCATTATATTCTGTACAAATATAATAGGATAGAATAACACAAGCTAGCTTCCTCCCTCTCCCTCCTCGACTCCCGACTCCCTACCTTCTCTACTTGTCTTCACAGCATTTGCTGTAGCCCTAAGACAGTCACGTAAATCGGCTCCAGAGACCCAAATCAGATTCCTATCCCTAAACTGATTAGCCCATTCCTTAGCGGCATTAAATAGTGTACCGTTAAAGTAATTTATGGGTTCCTGAACTTTTTATGATACAATTATTTCTAAATTATCTAGAAATGTCATTTATAAAATAGCCAAACATTAATATGTTTTTGTGATTCATAAAATTTTGGTTTTTTATTAGATACACACTGCCTGCAAAGAATTTTTCCCTCCCGTGTGTCCACTTGGCCAATGTAAAGTATCTGTCCTACCTCCAATTGCACTGAACAGCACTGACTTTGATGGTAGGTAGTGGTAGAGTAAGTACATATATTCCTGGTATATTTTGCGTGTATATGTTTAATTTCTGGAATATTTAGCATGGATGTATATACTTATTTTCTTAGAATAAGTTAAATTGTAATTGGTTATTCTAGTCAGTTTTCATATAATAATTCTCAGATTACTAAAAGAGTATGCTCAATTTTGAAGGGTATTTTTAAAATTAAAGTTGTCACAATGGTAAATGACTGCATAGTAAACATAGTTTTACATTAATTTCAGCAAATAAGGTCATTATTCTTTACTGTAATGTTATTTGAAAAGGTTAATTTTTATAAGTTCCTCCCACTCCCATAATTCAGCTAGTAACATTGCTCTTACAGCAGTTGGCTTTTCTTTCATTTCATTGCAAGAATTCATATTCCTGTAAATCCAATGACTTTTCCCAGAATGTTACAGATTAGCCCTAAGTGCTGGGAGCCTGTTTATAATGGCTAGATTGGGAACAACATCCTAATAAATCACCTCCCTTCGAAGCTGAGTCTTCCACAAAAGGCTTTTATTGTACACTAATGGTTTGCCTTGATAGAGTGCTTTTTTTTTCTTTTCTAAAAATTTGTTTGAATTATACTAATAGATGGCAGAAGTATAACAAACAGATACCATTGGTATAGTTTATAGATATATAAACCATATATCTACATTTATAGGTAGAAAATTGCGATTTTTTTTTTCTTTCAGCCATGACAGTTTCCAGCCTTCCGCAACACATATGAACACAGCAGTTTCTCATGTATCAGGGCTCTATTACTTGAATAGAAATGTTAGAGTATACCCTCAGACCTCAGCAAGGAGCAGTTAAACATTTATTATACTGAATATGAATATGCACATTCTTCTAGACATGTGAATTGATAATTTTCTTGTTAGTAAGTATAGTTAAAACATGTGGTGTGTCGGAAATTATGATTCCTATTTTTCTCGTCTTTGGTAAGATTTTTCATTATAGAATATATATAAAAAGATAAGGTCTCTATTCTTAGTGTGCGAATGATAAACATATCCCTTTTTGCCTTGGAGGGGGAAGTCAGTGTCTAATTTGTTGTTCAAGTACTACTCTTCATTTTTATTAATTTATCTTCTTTTCTCTGAATTTTTGTCAATAGTTTAAAAGAACAGCTTACCAGGTTGATTCTGTACTGTGCTTCCTTCCAGGTTTCTGTACAGCGACGTTTTCATTCTGTGTCAGTCCTCTCCTGGTTTTTGTCAATTCCAAGAGTGGGGATAATCTGGGAGTCAAGTTCCTCCGTCGATTTAAGCAGCTGCTAAATCCGGCTCAGGTGTTTGATTTAATGAATGGAGGTCCTTGTTTAGGGTAATTGATCATTGATACATTTTGTTTGGATGAAATTTAGCCTTAAGTGGAGAATGGTCTGGCGTTTTTAGGCTTGTGAAACTTGTAAATTCATGTAAATATCATTCTATGTTGATTTTCTCACTATCCTCTTTTTAAAGCTTTAAAACAAATTTTTTTTTTTTTTAACACAGCCTTTTCAGGTTTGTATCACATTCTTATGTTCTGAAATATCTAAAAGTTGTTTAGGAAAAGTTTTAAAATATACAATAACAATAGAAAATTATTTGCACAAAACTCTAGTACTGATGTATATACATTACAAAGTATTAGTTAATTTGACTGAATATAAGACAAATGAGCAGTCATTATCCTGAGTCTAAACACAGTTGAGTCCTCAGAGTTTTCAAACTCCATCACATAAACAGCAGAGAAATGCTTTTGTGAGCCATCTTTTTCTGATTTCGGACATATTGTATGGCTTAAGAATTTGAATGGGAGGACCCTACATAGAGTAGTTACTTTGAGGGAAAATTTATCTTGAGATAACATGAAGGAATTTTTAGTTTGTCTTCGACCTTTCTTTAAAAGAAGATACTGTGTCATATGCATCAAAGACCAACAAATGTCGCTGAGATTTTTCTTAGCTCCACTTAACCTCTTTGCTGGGCTCTGGTACTTTGACAATGAACAGAACAGTAAGAATTAATGGAATTTTAGATGCCGATGCCTGCAACTTTAGATACCCTTTTTCAGTTTTACAATAGTTTACTATATTTTAGGAGAAAGTTAGCACAATAAATTTCTTTCCTATTTAACAATTTTTATGCACCTTATTTGATGACATTGGTTACAGTTTCATTATGTGTCCGCACTCTCATTATTTCATTTCTTGGTGTTCTGTTTCCATTGTTCTAGCTTCTTACCTCCTCCTTGCCTTATCATCTTTGCTTTTAAATAAATGTTGAACATTTGCTCTCATGTAGTTGACTGTGTAAGGGAGTAGTTACTCACAGGTGATTTTGTGGATTTTATAAACCAGACTACTAATTGACTTAACAAGGACATTCAGGAAGAATACAGTCAATGCCAAGTTCAGTGCTTATTTTTTATGACATTCTCAGGGGTTCCTGTAGTCTTTACTGGTCCACAAAGTCTGGCACTTTGTAGGAATGAGCTCTTCATAGTACACCTTTCAAACAGGAAGAGACAAATGATTACTCTCTGTCTTCTTTCTTGGTGGTTCCGTGTGTGTGTGTGTGTGTGTGTGTGTGTGTGTGTGTGTTTCCATTTATGTTCTCATTTCACTTTCCTTCTACTTACATCTCCATTTTTACTTATAATTCCTTTGTCTTTTTTAAATAGTGGGCTTGAATTAAAAACTGCCGTTGAATTAACTTTTGTAGGATAGTGAATATGTAAGTAGGAGTTCTCACATTTAATAAGAATATGTTGTTGTTGTTGTTGTTGTTGTTGTTGTTATGTGCCATCGAGTCGTTTGCGCTCATAGCGACCCTGTGTAGAAGAGCCCTCAATGCTTTTCTATCCTGTGCCAACCTCGCTGTCTCTGACACATTTATTCCCACCACTCCACTCACAGAATAGATCCATCTCATCGAGGGTCTTCCTCTCCTGCGCCGTCCCTCCACTCTCCCAAACATGATGTTCCTCTCCAAGGACCAGTCCCTCCTTGCAACATGCCCAAAGTATGTCAGACAAAGCTTCAGAATCCTCGACTCCAGGGAACATTCTGGCTTCACCCTCTCCAGGACAAACCTGTTTGTTCTCCTAGCAGTATATTCAACACTCTTCTCCAGCACCACAGCTCAAAGGCATCAATTCTCTTTCTATCATCCCTATTCACTGTCCAAGAATAAACCAAAATAAAATAAAACCCAAACCCACTGCCAGCAGGACAGTTCCACATCATTACAACTCTCTATTGTGTTTCCAGAACTGAAAATCTTTACAAGATGAGACTCGTCGTCTTTGTCCTACAAAGTCCATGGTGTACATTAGACCCTACACTACCAGGTCTCCTTAATGTATTATTTTCTTATGTGCTGTCAAGTCAGTAGCAACCCATACCTGATTCTCCAGTGAGTTTTCAGAGGCTTTAAATCACATGGGAGGGAATTGCTCAACTTTCTCTGTCAGAGTACCTAGTGGATTCGAACCACACATGTTAGGGTTGACAGTGCATCTTCTTAACACTTGGCCTCCAGAACTCACTAAATACATATATGTTGTTCTTTTTGTGTATCATCAAGTGTGAACTGACCCATAGCTGATCCTCCAGTGGGTTTTCAAAGGCAATTAATCACACAGGAGGAAATGATATAGAATGACAAAGTTTTGGGGAAATATTTTATTTTTTGTTTACTTACACTAAAATGGAATACCTTTTACTTTTAGTTTAAGGTTATTTGAGAAGTTTGATAATTTCCGGATTCTTGTTTGTGGAGGAGACGGAAGTGTTGGTTGGGTTTTATCGGAAATTGATAAACTCAACTTGATCAAACAGGCAAGTGCTCCTTTGTTTTTATTAGTCACAGCATGACTGCATACTAACCATTCCTTACGGAGAGATGTACACAGGCATTCTGCTCTGCCCTCTTGTCTCAAGCCTCCTCCATGCTCTCTTTCAGTGTAAAGTTGGAGTATTGCCGTTGGGTACAGGAAATGACCTTGCTCGGGTCCTTGGCTGGGGAGGTTCCTATGATGATGACACCCAACTTCCTCAGATCCTAGAGAAGCTAGAACGAGCCAGTACCAAAATGTTGGACAGGTAAGAGTCAGTGCTTTTTAAAACTAGTTTGGAAATGACATGCTAAAAAGATTTTTCTTTTTATTGTGATTTGAGTGAAAACTTGCAAAGCTAATTGATTTTCCACTCAGCCTTTTATTACTTGAATACAGTACCTACAATGTAATCATTCTCTTCCTCTTCCATCTCTATGATTCTTATTTCCATTCATCCTTCTTTCCTACCCCTTCCTTCTTCAGGGCGAATTCCTTGAGCTCATGCTGCTATTTTCATCTGATATGGTTGGTTATTCTAAGGATTGGATGCTTCCTGTGTTATCGTTCACTTTATAACCCAGTTTATTGTTTGGCAGAGAGTTGTACCCTGGGAGTGGGTGAGTTTTGTCCAAATTAGAAGGATGCCCACAGGCCATAGTCTTGGAGATTCCAGCAGTCTGTATGAGACCAGGAAGCCTGGCTACTTACATATTTTTTTTTTCATTTTGTTCCCTATTTTTTGCCCACTCTCCTCAGGGTTTTCTGGTGTGATCCTATTTTGAGCCCTCAGGAGTGTAGCCAGGTGTCATCTAGTACTTCTGCTCTCAGAGTATTGGAGGTGGAGGTTTGCATGGTCTGTTAGGCCTTTAGACTGGTTTGTTTCTGTATATTTTTGCTTTCCTTCCCTCCCCTCTATTTCATACAAAGAGAGACTAATAGTTGTACCTTAGATGGCTGCTTAGACGACATCAGTTGCTATGCATCAAAGTAGGATTTAGATCATCACCTTTGTGGATTACGTTATGCCTTGATGTCCCCCAAGACTGTTGTCTTAAGGCTTTAGGATCAGCAACTCATTTTATCAGGGTGGTTACTTAGGATTACAAAGTTTAAAAAGCTTTGCTTCGTGTTGGCTCTGCTACATGTATGGGTATATTTTCAGCATAGACTAATATTAAGGTTGAAATATCTGTGAACCTGTAAGTGTTGTCCCATTTGCTTATTTTACCTGTCTGCTTGTATGTTGTTGTTGTTAAGTGCCGTCAAGTCACAGGCGACTCATAGCGACCCTATGAAGGAGAGTCCTCGACCCTTGGGTGCCTTTCATCCTCTCTCCAGGTTCATAGGGTTTCCAGAGGCAAGCTATTACGGAAGTGGATGCCATTCCTCCTTCCAGGCTTGTTTTAATCGGGGAGCTCCACCCCACTCTCTGTCTGCATTGGGTAACCAACCATTAACGCATTTGACACATCAGTGTCACAGTGCTCAGCCTCACAGCAACCACAAGTGACCACAGACGGCAACTTGTACACCAGGGCTATACGACCTAGAGGAAGGTCTGAACAAAAACAATAAAAGACAGGCCCGAGGGCTGCAGATTAAAAGTCACTGACCTTTGGCTTGGTAGCATCGCTTTCTGTCCACTGGGAGAGCTGATCTCTCTCTCTGTCTGCCTGTATAGCTAATTATATATTAATCTTGAGTATTGTTGATATTGCAAAGTTGTATATGTACTAATGTTTACCTTTGTTGATGATGCACCTCTCCATATTGTCCCTTTCTTTAATAATATTGAGCTGATCATCCCTATTGTATATTCCCTCTCCCTTCATCCCTCTTTATATATTCTTGTTATTTAGTTACTAAATTTTAATCTTTTCTTTCCTCTATTACCTGGTAATCATCCTTTGTATATCAGCCTTTATTTAAGTTTTTATAATAGTGGACTCATAATATTTGTCCTTTTGTGAAAAGATTATTTTATTCAGTGTAGTATCTTCTAGATTCATCTGTGTTATATGATGTTTCACAAATTCTTCATATTCTTTAGAATTGCATACATTACAATGTGTGCATGTCTGTTTATCCATTCATCCATTGGTAGACACTTGGGTTTTTGCCATTTTTTTTTTGCTATTATAGTTAATTATATATAATGCTAGAGTAAACATAAATGGATATTTATTTATCTGGCCCTGTTGGCAGCTCTTATTTCTTTAGGACATATACCTAGAGTATTGATTTTGTTGGACCAAATGACATGTCCATGGCCAACTTTTAAAAAAAGTGCCAAAACCTTTTCCAGAGCGATTACACCATTTTATAGTGCCATCAACAGAGTATGAGAGTTCAAATCTTTTCACACCGTTTCCAGAATTTCTTGTTTTCTGTCTTATTGACAGAAATTGTTGTTGTTGCTGAAGTAAGATGAGATTTCCTTCTTGGTTTAACTTTTGTCTTTCAATGGCTAAGCTTGAACATTTCTTTGTGTATTTGTTGGCCATCTGAATTTGTCTTCTTTGGTGAAGTATCTTCCCATGTCTTCTGCCCATTTGTAATCAAATTGTTTCTTTTTCTTATTGAAGTCTTAGAATTTTCTGTACATTTTAGAGACTAGTCCTAATAAATATGTTCATTGAGTGAATTATAGCTTTTGGAACAAAAATGGGAGATAAGATAAAGGCTGTGTTGATACTGTTGTTAGGTTCCGTGACTGATGGACACTCTGCATAACAGAGTGAAACGCTGCCACTTTTTGGACCATGTGTTCTGTAAGAGCCCATTATGGTAGTCACTGTCAGGCCACCCCTGGAGGGCTTCCACTTTTTCACTGACCCTCTGCTTTTCCAAGCATCAAGTCCTTTCCCAGGGATAACATGCCCAAAATGAGTATGATGAAGTCTTTTCTTCCTTGCTTCTAAAAGATCATTCTGGCTATACTTCTCCGCAGACAGGTTTGTTGTTGTTTTGGCAGTCAGTGCTATATTCAGTATTTTTCACACGAGTGTCAAAATTCAAAAGCATCAGTTGGTCTGCAGTTTTCTTTATTTTTCGTCCAATTTTAACATGTGTACAAAGCAGTTGAGAAAACCATGACTTGAGTCAGGTGCACATTAGTCTGTACTTGGATAACCTTGCTCTTTAGGAACCCTGGTGACACAGTGATTAAAGTGCTTTTTTCTGTCAGCGGTTCAAACCTACACAATCTGTAGGGAAAAGTTGTAGAATCTGCCTCTGCAATAATCACTGCCCTGGTGACCCACAAGGCAGTTCTCTTCGGCCCCATAGTGCCATTATGAATGTGAGTTGATTCAATGGCAGTAGGTTTAGTTTGGTTAAGATAGGTTGTCTCCTCATTTTGTGGTTAAGTTCTTTGATGAAAAAAAGTGTTTCATTTTCGTTAAGTCCCATTTATCTGTCTTGTCTGTTATTTCTGCTGCTTTTGTGTGTATGTATGTGTTTTGGGCTTTTGGTTTTTTTTGGGATTTTGGTTTGGTTTTTTTCTCTCTCTCCTTCTCCAGCAGAGCATATGCCTTCTGTATTGCAGTGCAGCTTCTTGCCACTAGGCCACCAGAGCTCCCCTTGTTTCTGATGCTTTTGAAGTCATATATAAGAATCTGTTGCTAAACATTAAGTCCTGAATCATTACTCTATAGTTTCGTTTTACTGTTTCATGATTTTAGGTCTTAACCTTTGGCTTTTTTTGCTAATAAAATTCTTAATCCCTCTCTGGATCACTTATGTAGTTTCCTTGGAGATTATGGGAGAGAAGTTTGGATGTTGAGTAAAGGGAGGAACAGGATTCAGTCAACAGTTGACTGCACTATCATCCTCAGTAACCCCCCAAACCACCAGGCTGCTATTCAGTTGACCACAACTTAATAGACTTTTGAGACTGTAAATTATAGGAAAACAGTCCTCATTTTCCCCCCATAAAGTGGCTGGTAGATTTGAGCCACCAACCTTTGTTTATCAGCCCAGTACATTGCATACTACACTACCAGAGTCTTACCACTCCTTATAAGTAGAAGACAAATGTCAGAAAATATTATTATCAATTTGAGCCAGCATGACTCAACACAGTATTGATAGGATTAGCCATCTGTGGAACCCTTTCTCCCAATAACCAGAATCTCATCAGGGAGCCACCTAGCTAAAGTGTAATGGTTCCAAGATGAGCTGTAATCTAATTCACCGCAACCTGACCCGCACAGAGTGACACCGTGATACTTGATTCTTTTACTGACGGTATGTGACTAAATAGAGAGCTGAGCAGCAGAGAACTTGTCTCTGTATGTCCTGCATGAGGGGAATGATCTAGTCATTTGCCGTAGGTTCTAGTGGGACAGGAGATTCTGCTTCCCGTCTTTTTCCATTTTCAGTTACTAGAGATCCATTCCGTTCTCCTGCATATGAAACAAGAAAGAGTATTTGAAATGATTTCTTTGCTCCCAATTTTAATCCCATTCCCAGTCATCATAGGAAGTGCTGTCAGTCCCTCTCCTTTGTCTTGCTGCTTCTGTGAGCCAGAGGTGTCACCTTCTCCAGTATGATCAATAGCCTCTGGTGACAGTCGGTGATATTTACTTGCAAGGAGGCATACGTGTGTGCAGAGACACACCAAAAAGGACTTCTTATTGGACAGTAATTCAGTATTGAAAACATAAAAGTATCTTGCTTTCCTGTGTTTTATTTACTAACGAAGACATTGTTTGTGGAGGAGTCCCAGTTAACTCGCATGGCTGACACTTGACTTGATTGGTAGTTTGAGTCCACCTGGCGACAACTCGGGCTTTGAGAAGTCCATGGAGCACAGTTCTACTCTGACACACATGGTAGCCATAAGTCAGAGTGAAGTCGACAGCAGTTAACTTGTTTATTTGTAAAAACATAAGAAAATGGGAGTAAGAATGACTAATATTTTTGGCTGTCTGGCATTTACGGTGCCTTACCCCGTGCCTCATCACTTCACTCCTGAAGTTAGCTTGTATTATCAGCTGTCTTTTACACATAAAAAGACGCTAGACGTTTTTATGTGGTCAAATTCACAGCAATAAAAAGGAGTAGAACTGGCATTCTAAAGTGGAACCCAGACTTGCCAGTTCTAGGGTCTTCCCTTAACTTTGCAGTCTCTCCCTTTCAACATGCATCCTTACCAGATAGGACCCTTTCTAGCCTCTCGCTCCCTGTAGCCCCACCATGCCTCTTTTTTCTGACTCCTGCTACGTTCTTCTCCTATTCTTTCTAGTCAGCAGCCGTTTCTCGTACAGGGAAAGGTGCCATCTAGAAGGTGCAAGGAGTTTGCGTGGATTTCTTTCCCTTTACATTATTTTGTTTTTATTGTAATTTTAGTGAAAGTTTATAGAAAAGTTGGGTTTCCATTCATTCATCGATGGCATCTTTTTCTTCCCTTCACCCCCAGTTCACTTTGTAATGCATGTCTTCTTCCATGTTGATAATAGTCATGAATATAATGTCTACTCATCCATTCCTTTCAGATAGTTCTTCTCTTCACCTATTCTGTTGTGGTATTCATTATCTATCCTTCCTTTTTCTGTTCTCCTCCTCCCCCTCCCTGCAAGTTCACCCTATTTTATAACAATTGTCTTAGGCAGTATTTGTCCTTTTTGTGACTGAGATATTTCACTCAGCATAATGTCTTCCAGACTCATCCATGTTGTGTAGTGTTTTATAAGTTCATTGTTTTTCAGTGCTACATAATATTCCATTATGTGAACGTGCCAGTTTTTCTCTGTTATTTTCCTCGGTTACAAGATACTTGGTATTTCTGTTTCCAATTACAGCTTTTCTGATTTGTATACTTAACAAAGGTTAATTATCCTTTTTGCATGCTTACAGTCTTATAGCAAGATTCTGGTGGTGCAGTGTATTAAGCAGTAAACATCTAACTGAAAAGTTGTCAGTCTCATCCTACTAGCACTTAGTTGAGAGGAAAAAGGAAAGAGTCTGCGTCTGTAAGAATTCCAGCTCAGAAAACACTATGGGCCAGTTCTGCTCTATCCTAGATGGAAGCTGTGAGTGGGAATCGGCATCGGGGATGGTGGCCTTTTAATTGGTTTCCTTAATAGAAGATTCATGAAGATAGTCCTATTCATACCTGTGACTCCAACTCTGTCACTTGTTGTTGTTAGTGGTCATTGAGTGGCCTCCAGTTGACAGAGAACCTTGCCCAATCCTGCATCATCCTCACAATCTGCCGTACCCAAGCCCATTGTGAGACTCACTGTGTTCATGAGTTTTGTTGAGGACCTTCCCTCTTTCTCTGGTCTTCTACCTTTCCCAGCATCTCTCTCTCCAAGAATTGGTTCCTCCTGAGAAAATATGCCCGTAATAAGTGAGACAGAGTTTCACCATCCTTACACTTTCTTTATGATAGAGTTGCTTGTTATTTTGACAGTCCACGTTATGTTCAATACTCTTTTCCAGTACTATTCATAGGAATCGATTCTTCTTTGGTCCGATTTATTCATTGTCCAACTTTCAGATGCATAGGATACTCTTGAAAATACCATGGTTTAGTGATAAGGAATTGTAATGCTAATGCAAAGGTGTGCAGTTCAAACCCACCAGCTGCTCTGCTGGAGAAAGATGAGTAGTTTCTGAAAGCCCACTGGAAGATTAACTATGGGTCGTTCCAACTTAACAGTACACAACAACAGCATGGCTTGCATCAGGCATATCTTGGTCTCTAAGCTGAACAAATGTCACCATAGAGACTAAGGTGCACCTGATGCAAGCCATAGTATATTCTTTGGAAAGGTCCTTGACAACAGATTTTCCAATTGTAGGATTTTTTTCTTTCTTTTGATTCTTTGAACTGCTACTACCATAGATGTTGATTGTGAATCCAGGTAAAATTAGATCGTTGACAACTTTGATCTTTTTTCCGTCTATCATGGTGTTGCCTGTTGGTCCTGTGGTAAGGATTTTTGTTTTCTTGATATTGAGGTATAACCCATATTGAAGGCTGTAGTCTTTTTTATTTTTTTAATTAATTTTAATGAAAGTTTACAAAGACTTAGGGTTTCCAGTCATCCATTGTTGCACTTTCTCCCTTCCCCAACCCCTTCCCCCCCAATTCCCTTTTCTCCTTGATAAGTAAAAGAAAGATTCTTTCATTGCTATGCAATTCCTTCCCCCAGGTCCACGGCACTGTTCAGCCTTCATTCTGGACTTGTGACATAACAATAATACCTAATCAAATATACCTTTTAAACAGTTCTCTTCCTCAGCTGTTGCAGTGCAGTATACATCATTCCTCCCCTTCTTCTCTTTCTTCCCTCAACCCCGTTGTCAGTCCTGTTTTACAATAGTGGCCCTATGCAATACTTGTCCTTTTGTGACTGAGATATTTCACTCAGCATAATGTCCTCAGAAGGCTGTAATCTTTGATCTTCAAGTATTCTTTAGATACATGGCTGTTATTTTGAGACTGTCAATTTTTTTTCTATTTTCATAAACATTTACAGAGATTTTGGGCTTCCACTCATTCATTGTTGCGCTATTCTCTCTACCCTCCTCCCAGTTTGTTCGAGACTGTCAATTTTTAACTTGTTGCATGGGTGAAAAACAAATTAATGATTACCTGCTTGTCAATTTTAGGTAGCATTTTCTTTCAAGAACTGAATAGTAGTTAATAAGTAACTATGTGGTTTTTGGGGACATTCTGGGTATTTGGATTTTATATGCAAATACTCATTCTCATCGGAATGGTACACGAGACTGTTTAAAGACTGATGTAATCTTGAACTTCTCTGTCATATTCTGTTCTTAAAATGCATGTTATCATGGGACTATATTATGTTTCGTATGTTTGTAAGAAGCACATCTTATAACTCTGTAATAACAGTACAGCTGTTCTTCTCAGTTTTGAAATTATTACTTTGGCTAGAAGATGTGACTTACCTAAATCAATTCCTTTTCTTTAACACCAAATAGTTAAATATGGTTTGGAAGGACTACTGACAGCTAATTGAAATAAAGTTTAGTCTGTTACGTATTAATTCTGTTGCTCTTCTTGGCTTAATCCTGTGTTTACTTTCTTTCTTACTTAAAGAAAAGAGATACTTAGATAATTTTCATTTCAATTACATGTGAACGGTTTGGTATGAGTGGTAGTTTTGTGGAGAGTGACTTGTTCATAGGCAGTTATTTAATCTAGAACATTGTTCTAGAAATTTGGACTTGTAATCCCTTAGTAACTTGTACAGTCTAGTTAATAAATTATGAGGAGCATTGTTTAAAAAAATGAATTAGAAAAGTAAGCTAGCATTGTCCTAGGTGAGGAAGATGACATTTCCTTGTGCTGATGTCTCCCCCTGTGTGGCTCCTGGGCTTGAACAACTTGGAAGGTGATGATTGAGATTTGGTGAGATATGGAAACTAACAGTTTCTTGTTGGTGTTATGTGCCATTGAGTCACTTGCAACTCATAGCAACCCTATGTACAATAGCCCTGAGCTCTCTCCTATCCTAAGCCAGTCTCACTGACTCCAGCATACCTAATTCCATTGCCCCAGTTACTTAAGCAATACATTTCATCTGGGGTTTTCCTCTCCTACACTGTCCTTTCACCTTTGCAAGCATGAAGTCCTTCTCTAAGGACCAGTCCCTCCTAGCCATGTGACCAGAAAATGTCAGGCGGAACTTCAAAATCCTAGCCTCCAAGGAACAACTTGGTTTCACCCTCTCTGAAACAGACCAGCTTGTTCTCTTGACAGTCCATGGTATGTTCAATACTCTTCTCCAGCACCACAATTAAAATTGATTCTTCTTCTCTTAGTTACACAATCAATGTTTTAGGTTGTTGTTGTTGTTAGGTGCCGAGTACAACCCATGAAACCCCATGAACAGCCAACTTGCACCTTTCCCTATCCTTGCCCTCTTCATCTCAGAGGCACTAGAACCTATTGCTGTAGTCATGGTACCGGTCTATGTCATCGAGGGTCTTCTTCCCCTTCACTGACCCTCCATCGTATCAAATCTCTTGTGGCTCATAGCGATCCTGTATGAACAGCCCTTTCCTGTACCGTCCTCATAGTCTTTGATATGCTCTTGCCCTTTGGTACAGTCACTGCGTGAATCCAGTTGTGGAAGGTCTTCTTCTCTCTCACTGACCCTCTGTCTTTAAGCCTGGTGTCTTTTTCTAAGGACTTAGTATCTTACCAGAATCCAAAAATTTTATTTCTCCTCCTAATTTTGATTCGCAGAAGAATGGGCAGTATCCTCCTGTGCGATTAACTGGCTCTGAAAACCCACTTAGAGGGTCAGCTATGGGTTGGTTCTGACTCTATGGTACTCAACAACAAGAACAATTTTTATTATTTTAATTAAATGAAATAATAACGGATATATCTAGATATAATTTGGAGAGAGAAGTAAATTAACTGATTAAATTTTAAAGGAATTTTTAAAGAAAAGGCCATTGTTTCTCCTTCAGGTGGAGTATAATGACATATGAACTCAAATTGCAACCAAAATCTCCTATACATCCAGTTTCTCCAGAACCACCTGCAAGATTTTATGTAAGAACCTTTTAACTATTTATCATTTAAAGTGAGGGTAAATATGTTGATAAATAAGAAAACTTATTAAAAAATGCAATCACCTGCTTGCCTAGTTGTATATATATTATTTTGGGGATGACTTGCTCCTCCTAGTCTTGAATCCAGAGAAAAGAATTCTCTAGAACAAGCTCAGAGTTTTTCCTTGACCACCCACGCATGCTTGGGTGTGTGAACTTAGGTCCTTTGCCTAACGGTGCCTGCGTTGTTTCATCTGTTAAAGCCAAAATGTTTGAAGTATTAAATGAAGAAGTGAAGGTATTGTGCATTCTCCTTCCCCTGCCCTTGATACTTTTGTTGCTCTTAGTTGCTACTGAGTAAGTTTTGATACGGTCTCTTTATACAAAACAAAAAAGAATGTTGCCTCATCTTGCTCCAGTCTTCATGATCACTGGGATACTCCAGTCCGTTGTTGACCACTGTTTATTCTGAATGTATAGGATTTTTATTGGCTCATTTTCACAAGAAGATGGCTTCACTGTCCCCCCTGCTCCCCTTTGTCAATCTGGAAGCGCCACTGAAACTTGTCCACCATGAGTGAGGCTGCTGGTAATTGAATACTGGTGATAAAGCTGCCAGCGTGATAGCATCATGCAGGCCACAACAGTACAGTCAACTGGTAGCCGAGTAGTAGCTTACCCCTGAGAGTTCTTGAACATTCTACCTCCCTGCTGCCTCTTTACCAACAAAACTTCAAAAAGGCCATCTGTCGTGGAGGCTACTGATGACATTTTCCTGTTGATATAAATTCATCTTCTTGTGCATGGGCAAGGAACACAGATCTGAGGACTAGGTGGTAGTCAATTCCCTTTAAATAGTCTTCTAGCACACTAATGCCTTGGCCAGAATATTCCGCAATGCCTCTCTTGGGCTTTGTCTGCTTTTTGGAGAGTGCAGGTCTCTGGGTGAAGCTTGTTGATCAAGATAAAATAAAACAAGAAAGAAAACTCATTTCATTCCATGCCTGCTACAGACCATTCTTAGGCTTTTTGGGGGTTGGTTTGTTTTTTTTTTTAAGATCCAACATTCAGATTAAACCTCAAAGACTTTGGAGATTTAAAACAGATTTTAATTTTCAAAGGATTATTCTCTGATTCATTAAGACCATCTGATGTATGATAGCTCACTTTTCCCTCTAGGGAAAGTCGTGTCTGTATTTTATAATTGAATTTTTTTTTTCATTAAGAAAATGACTATCTTGTTAACATTAAGGAAAGGAATGATGAGTACAAACAAGGGACTACTTCTCAAGCTGATTATACTTTTATTTTAGTCTCATATCAAAGTAGATAAAGCTGTTTCTAAAAATTTGAGCAAATACAAAATTATATGAAAATCACAGTACTGCTCCAGAGAGATAAATATAAAGTATTTAAAAACCAATGTATCCTGCACTATTTTTATTTATACTATTTTATATGATGGTACTTATGCAAGTTCAAATTGAAGCTGAAAGGCCTTAAAACAGGTCCATGAGAACCAAACTACAATGCAGAGTCTTTTTCAACTGACTTTTTTTAAATAAAATTTTTATTTTATATTGGTTTACTTATAAAGTTTGTGTACATTGTTTTTCACATCAGATCATCCCATTTCCTTTACCCATCCCTCCCTCTACCCATCAAATTATATGACCTTGTGATTAACCCCCTGCCCATCCTCACCCTTAACTCAACTACATGTTAAAGGCATCTTAAAAGGCCTTTCTTCTCTGTATTTCCTTTCAGGGAAGAGGTCCATCCCTTTGGGGATGTAACTTTTTAACAAATCTATCTTTACTTTTTTAGTAAATAAAGATTTTTTTTCTAAAGTAAAGATAGATATTAATAAAGATGTATTTTTTTTCCTCAAAAAAACCCCCCAAAACCAAAACTGCCCACCTCAAGTATATATATGATACATTGAATGAACACTAATGCCTGAAGACCAAATGAGGTATGGGATGTGTTCAAGGACATCATCCATGAAGAAGGCAAAGGGTATTTGCAGAGGCAGGAAAGAAAGGAACAACCAAACTGGGTGTCAGAAGAGCCTTTGAAGCATACACTCTAATGGAAAAATCACAAAGGGAAGAAATGCTGAAGTAAAAAAGGACAGCAGAGATTTCCAAGGGCAGCTCAAGAAGACAGAGTACTTTCCCAAAAAGAATGTCAGAACTGAACTATTCAGAGTGGAAATGCTACTTTCAGGAAATAGCATATGATCAGTAACCAGTGGTAATGAAGGAAGACGTTCAAGCTGCACTGAAGGCATTAGCAAAAAAAAAAAAAAATAAGACCTCAAGAACTGGTGGAATTCCAGTTGAGATGTTTTGAGATTCAGGTACATCTCTGGGCATGCTCACCAGCGTATGTCAAGAACTTTGGAAGACAGCAGCCTGGCCAAAAAAAACTATAGAAATGAACCATATTTGTTCCCACTTCAGAAAAAGATCATCAGAGAGACAATAGAAATTATCAAATGACATCATGATTATCACATGCTGGCAATATCTTAATGAAGATTGTTAAGAAACAGCAGGAAGAGTGCATCATAAGCAAAGAACTGTTAGAAAGTCAAACTGGATTCTGAAAAAACTGTGGCATAAAGGACTGCTGAGGTCAGATTGATCTTCACTGATCTTAGCAGACAGCACCAGAAAGTTACTTACTGTATTTTTATTGACTATGCAAAGATATTTGACTGTGAGTCAAAATAAATTATGGATAACATTACAAAGAATGAGAGTCTTAAAATTAATTGTGCTCATGCAAAACCTACACATAAACCAAGAAGCAGTTAACCAAACAGAACAGAGGAATACTGCATGGTTTAAATCAGGAAAGATGTGCATCAGGGTTGTATTCTTTATTCATCCCCATTCATTCTGAATGTTGAGCACATGATTGAAGAAGCTGGACTTTAAGAAGAAGACTGTAGCGTTAAGATTGGAGGAAGACTCATCAAAAACTTGTGTTGTGCAGCTGACAGAACTTTGTAGAAGGGAAAGAACATTTGAAGCACTTGTTGTAGAAGATCAAAGAATACAGCCATTCTTATGGATTACATCTCAACAAAAAGGAAACAGACGTCTCATCACTAGACTATTTGGCAACTCACGATTGTTAGGGAATAAATGGAAGTTTTCGATAATTTCATTTTACTTGGATTCACCATCATCACCTATGGCAGCAAGAGTCAAGAAATCAAAAGACATGTTGCATTGGGAAAAATCTATTGTCCGGGATCTCTCCAAGTGCTCAAGAGCAACAATGTGAAAGCCTAAGTAGTGCCTGGTCCAAACTATGACATTTATAGTGTTTCCTGCATCTGAAAACAAGAGAATGACAGAAGAGTCATCAATACCTTTGTATTGTGTTGGTGAAGAATACTGAACATCCCATGGATGGCCAAAAGAATATACAACTATGTCTTGGAGGAAGGACAACCTGAGGTCATAGAGACAATGATGGTAAAACTTTATCTCACATACTTTGAGCATGTTATCAGAAGGGGACCGTCTTTGGAAAAAGACATCATTTAAGGAAAGGTGGAAGGTCAGTAAGAGAGGAAGCTCTTAAATAAGGCTGTACACAGGGACTGTAACAATGTGCTGGAGCATAGAAGAAATTGTGAGGATGGTGCGGGATAGGGGAGGGTTCACATCTTTGTTCATAGAATTGCTTTGAGTTGTAGTCAGCTCAATGACACATCAAAACAACATTACAACTATAAACACGATGCATTTATATATTTACTAATCTTATTCTTAATACTATTTTCATAAATGTTACTAATCTGTTCTTCAAAAGTGTTAAAGAGAATTTCTTTGTTCTACCTATTTCAGAAATGTTTGCTTTTTAATATATAAAATGTGTTGTTGTGTGGCATCAAGTTGGAATCAACACATAACTGACCCTGAAGCAGATTTTCATAGACAGTAAATTGCATAGGAGAAGATTGCCCATCTCTCCCACAGAGCAGCT